TGATTTGTCTCTGTTTACTGTGTACGCATTAGTTGGCCATGCCTAAAATATGCAAGTGTGTTCATCTTGAAAATGTTGATAACAATACAGCCAGGTCTGGAGATTGCAAATGAGGAATAAACTTGATCTGATGCTGGGCTGATTTTCTTGTGCTACAACCTATTCACCTGTTCTCATCAGTAACTTTATACTGAACTTATTGCAAGAATGAGGCTTTAGGGCTTCTTGAGCCATCGCTTCTCCACAGAAAACTTCTGCACAGCTGCAGCCTGCTGACTGAAAGCAAATCACCACTGTGGTATGGTCGTGTCTAATGATGCTGATTCCACCAGTGAACAGTTGAGCACCTACAGCATTTAGGAAAGGGTTAGAAACTTCTTCAGTGTGAGTCCAGGTCTGCCAAGAACAGCCTTTTCTAGAGAGCTGAAAAACTGTAGGATATGAAAGGTTGAGGATGGCAGTGGTAGTCAGAGGGCCGTGCCCATCGAAATCCCACTCTACTCATTTACTGCTCCATCTCACCAGGGAACACATCCCACGGACAGCATCCAGTTTGTGAAAAAAGGCATGAACTTCAGCCTCATATGACCTGATTAGGTTAGCACAGACAGAGAACAGGTAAACAGCATCAACACCAACTATGGGCTGAGGCACCAGTGAGCAACATACCAGACCAGTTAGGATGCCATGTCCTCACGCTCTTCAGCCAACCGGTGTGAAAGCTGTACTTATTCAGGCACTGCAGCTACCTGGCTAGTCCCTGGAGAAAAAAGGGATGGGGCAGGCTCATGGGGCTGAAGTGAAGCCTCACTTCCAAGGGGTCCACTTCACTACTTTGCAGAAGCACTTCAGTTAAGTTAGAAATAAGCTGAATCAGAACATCCAGCCAAGACGAAGATTATGACTTCTTTTTTTAAAGGAAAATATTTGACAGACAATACATTACAAACAGGATCATGTGACTAAACAGGAATACTGAATCTGAGTAAGTGACTTGTAAGGAAGAGTTCCTGTATCCTGGGATTGTTCTGAGGCTGTGTGATAAATCTGGCTAAGGAGATGAAGAAATAATTAGAAGTCATTGTGTCACCTCAATTCAACATGCACAATGTGCCAACCAAGGCACATGATTTGCACCTGTGCTGACACCCATCCCACTCAAGCTCAAGTGTAAGCACTGCCTTAACCCCACACTCATATTTCATCTATTGACCCCACCTAACTAACCACAATATACAAACTGGGCAGTTCAGTTGATTGCAACTGTGTGTTGAGAAGTTCAGGAAAATTAGAATGTTTGTTTGTTTGTTTTGAGTGTTCGTGCACACTTTGCAACAGGCACTAGTGGTGCAGGTTTTGGAGTCACAGGAACGCTTGTCATTAATTGCTTTTAAGAAAATTTAGAGTAGAAATGGAGAAGAATGCATACATTAAAATAGTAACTACTAATGCTCTTGGCTATTACACCCAAATTTGTATATATAAAAAAGTAATATTAAAAAATTAAATTAAACAGCTCCCTTGGCAAAAATAAATGCTACATTTGCCATTAATTTCTTTTTTTTTCTTAGAGCTAATAATATTGAAGTTTCAGGGTAAAAAACTGCACTTAACTTTACCCTTCATGTACACAAACAGCTTTAGGCAAACTGTGGAACTACCGAGCACTGAGACAATTCAGTATTACAAAGACAGCAGATGGTCTTTGGAGTGTAACTCCTTCACGTCCCAGATTTATCCCATGAACTGTGTGTCGCATCTTTCCCATCAGCTCCTTCTAAAGCCTAGTCACTGTCCGAGTCATTGTCTTCATCTTCTTTTCCAGACAGAGCATGTTTGGATGAATCATTGGCTTCTCCCAGAGGAACAGCCCCTTTCCTCTGTGGCAGGACACTGAAAAAGGCCTCCTTCCAGTCTCTCTTCTCCAGGTAGGCAAGGATGATCTCAAACACTGCAATATAAGAAAACCCATCAGCTCTCTTACAGGGAGATAAATGAACTGCTGATAGGAACACACCCCCAAATCCATCCCATCCAGAGGCTCAGGTGCATCCTGTTGTGGCATCTTCCCAGTGGAGCTGATGAAGTGCGGCCAGGGACAGACAAGGCAATTCTGCTACTGCTGCAGCCTAAAGCCAAGTGCGAACTGAGTCTCCAGTTGTGTGACAGTACCCACAGCACTGCTTTTCTGCAGTAGCTCCGATTTTCAAGCCATTTCTCTCAGAGACAGAGAAATGCTCCCCTCCTAATACTTCAGGTCTCACCAGTGCCTTGTATACAGGCACCAATGCTTCCCCATATTTGACAGGAATACTGCTGTGGATACACTTTCACAAAGATTTTGACCCCTCCCTAACACACAGACAGCCCAAAGTCTTCCTAAAAACTCCTGTAATTAGCTTTTTTCTTTCTATATAAAGCAACAGTTTAAGATCAAGTTTTAGAAACATGTAAAATCTTACAAATATATGGTGTTTGATAATTTTTAAGTCCAGTGACATACTATAGTCTCTTCCATATTTAAGTACTCTTTATTATCATGGAAAAATACACCTCACCAATCAACGGTGCTTTAAGAAAACAAAAGTGTCATTGAACAATGTGTTACATAAAAAAACCCACAAACTTAGAAAAAAGCAAGGTGAGATAAAATAAAATAATGTGCAGTGGGGCACAAAAAAGCCTTTGACACCATGTCAAAAATTTCCATAAAGATCTTAGTAGGCTCCATTTTACATCTATTTTTGTTTATTGACACTGAAAAATGATCTAGTAATAAAACTGGAAGTTTAAAAGGAGTGGGATTCAAGACTTGGTTAAGCAACTGAATGCTTCAATCAGAACCAGCAAATCAGCTAAAAATAAGTTTTGAAAGCTCAGCAGACTGAGTACTGCTGATACCAACTGTAGTGAGTCTACAGGTACCGAGGGAGTTGCTGCTGAACAAAGCTGTCTAAGGAGGTGAAAACATTACAAACATGTATTCTCCCCTGACATGAAATACATGGAATAATTTCCAACACTTATACATTAAGCCTGGAAACAAGACCAGGATGATAAGAATGCCACAAGTATTCATGAGAAAAGCCAACAGGATAGGAGGTGCACTCCTGAGTCGCTAAGACACCATCATTTACATTTAACTATTTCTATAATATAGTTAAATTGGGGTCAGGGCAATTATTGTATCCCAAAGGCAGTATCAACATAACAAAACAAGGTTGAGGTACCTGCACTGCAGTGCACAATTTGAGGGTTCAAACTGTAAATATCACAGGTATATTCTACAACAATGTCATTATTTTATGATTTAAAACTTACCATGATTGACGGCTAACACTTTCCGACTGTTCATCTTGACAAAGTTTCTGAGTGGGAGCTGCGCATGACCAATGCCTTGCTCTACAGCTTTTTTGTAAGTTATTCCCTGTGGGAAAGACACCTAAATGAGTGCATTCAGAATCATCATTTTGGATCAGCCCATGCAGATTTATTACAAGTATAATTTTCTGGCAAGAGTTTTGCTGGTGCTGCCATGATCTTGCTTTAGAAGACAGTTGCAAAAAGAAACTTACCCTGGTTAGACAGTATCTGCCTCAAAAGGGCTACCTTTTGGAAAACTCACTACTTTCTGCATATGTCACACTGTGACCAATGGTCTAAAGGACTGTAAATAAAACTTCATGCAGCTGCAGCTCTAGAACAAGTCAGCCACGGACTGTTTTAAAGGCGAGCTTATGCTTAAGTACAACGTTACTCACATTGCAGTCACTGTGTATTTTTGCAGAGGAAGAGTAAAGGATAAAGAAATTTTGCTTACTTTCTTATACCTGAAAACTCCTGTGCCCAAGGTGGGCAAAACAAGTCTTTAGAATTGTGAAAACACTCTATATCACAAAGTCTATGTAAAGGATCTGCTTCAGCTCCCTCCTCGCCTTTCACTGGACAAACTGTTGTCGAAAAGACATCCCTTTTTTTAGCATCCCACCAAAATATTAAAGTAGTAACAGCGCTTCAATTTCCCAGCTGCATTCTCTATGATATTCCAGGTCCCCACAGCATGATCCCACGTACAGGTATGGAACCAGATCTCTGAGGCATGTGTATTACTCAGCCAAGTTCTCCTGAGAAGCAAACTTATTAAAAAAGGACACCCAAGATGCAAGTGCTGCTGTTCATCTATATTTGGGCATGTGGGCATCCAAGCATGCACGTACACTTGCAAGTGCATTAATGGAAATCAAACCCTTCTGTCTGAAACTCTGGCTCTCAGTAAGCTGAGCAGTGTTATTAATTCCATTCCTATATTTAAAATGAAAAGATAAAGTCCAAAAAAGCCCAGCATGCCTGCATTCTGGAACACAAGCCACTGCTACCACAAAAGCTTTTTTTCACATTTCTTCAAAAAAAGACTTAAAAAAATTTTAGAAGAAGTTTTCTTATTATTTATTTTGTTAGTTTAGAAACAACAGTGTTTATGTCAAATAAGGTGCTAAAACAGAAAAAAGCTATAAAGAAACAGATCCACGGTTTACCTTGTGGTGATTGTGATCCACCAGTCCTCCAATCACATAGGCTTTCTTCTCATCAAGGTCTTTGAGAACATCTGGGGAATCTGAGGTAAGATATACTAGGTCTTCTTTCTTTATTAGCTCACTGTAGTGCTCTGTTCTAATTTGGATGTCCTCAAAAAAAGGTAGTTAAAAGAAGTTACATTCAACAGAGAAATTGCTGGCCAAGCTTTACAGACCTAAATGGGACCAGCAAAAATAAATCCAATAGAATTGTGGCTATTCCACATCCCTCATTCATGTTTAAGGGTGTATCACACTGCACATTGATTTCTGCAAAAACAATCCAGTCCCTATGGCACTGACTTGTAAAAATCAACAGGAAATTTTCTGAAACCTCCAAAGAACCTTACAAATCCTTAAAGTTCTTGTGATTCCCTTCAAATGTGAGCATATTTCTCCTAAGGATCCAAGTAATTTTCCAGTTCACCTTCCCAAAAAAAGTGAAATCAGAAGTAAATCCTTAGTTCACATTAACTGTTCGCTAAGAGAGGTTTATGCTCTGCTGCTGCAAAGCAGCTATTGCACAAGAAATGCTGAAAATAGGTCTGGTTTTATTTGCGCAAAGTGCTCTTCCTTTGATGTTGTTGAAACAGTGGTTTAACAGGGAATTACAAGGAAAACCAACGTGAGTTTGACCATTAGACAAGCTTCCTCTCTAAAGAACACTTCAATACTGAGAGGCAATGTGATGAAAGCATCATGATATTCAAAGTATTATTTTGGTCAAGAAAAAAAGAGCACTGTCAAGACAGATGACTGTCAGAACTGCCTAAATCAAGCAGCCTTGCTTTGTCTATCAGGGAATGAAATTTGTTCAATAAAAGCAGGTGAAAACAGATGTGTGTGTAGTTTTCCAAGCAAAAATCAAATATAGAGTCAAGATAAGCAGTCTTTGGCTTATGCAAATTAAATCAATTAAAAAGCAGAAAGAGCTACACTATTTCCAACATGCCATTGCTCTTATGTGTTAGAAAAACCCACATGGAAAAAGCAAATGCTCTTCACAACTAACAATCTAGTTAGCAACTACAATCAAGATTTTGTTTTCCTTTTTTACAGAAATACTCAATTATTCACCTTCCAGTTCACCCATCCTTTGTCATTTTCATTCATGTTGCTCTTCAGCTGTCCACCATGGCTGGTCAAGTAAAACTTCAAACAGAACAAAAAAGAGGTACAAAATACAGAAATGTTAATGTGCCACAATCTATGTCCTCTCTGTCTACCCTTAACTATATAAGACTTTTTCTTCCCTTAACTATTAGCTAAATCTTTTAATATTTTTTAGATGGAATTGATACTAGGACCATATTCATACAGTTAGTGATACATTTAAAAGACAAGTATGCATTTGAACTCACTTTTTTTTTTTAATCTGACACAGATAAAACTGAGTATCAACAAGACCTTAGAGGCACACGCCAGTATCTTCACCTGCACACACATACTTATTCATATATATAGGGATTTTTATTTACATGGGTTGGAATTTAATCTGTTAAAATAGAAGTAATTTTCTTATTAAAAAGAGGCAGCTCAAATAATTTTTTTCTACTACAGTTCTCACCCCTTCTCATATGTTTGATAAATGGCAGCAGTCAGTTTGTTTAAACATACCTGCACAGGATGAAATGCCTTGCGGTTTTCTGCATAACATCTCTGAATCTGCTTGTGAAGCTTCTTAACATCCTGTACACAACATAATTTGTTTTTACTTAGTCCTTCATACAGACCATCACAAAATGCTTTACCATGAGCCAGTCAGAAGCTAAAGAGAGAAAAAGGAAGCTTTTAACTGGCAAAAGTGACTACTGAGAGAGTGCGGACATCAGATCCTGAGAGAAAAAACAGCCACTGTGCAGGGATTATGTTGGCAAGAAAACACACACATCTTCCCATACAAGTGTACTTAGACACCTCTGTATATGGGATTTGCATTATTCTAGGAAAAAAGCCCAAAACAAACATTACAGGTATTTAATTATATGTTATAACAGACAAAATTAATCTGAGGAATCAAACAGATCTATTGCTGTGACAATACTCAGTCTTTAACCCATGGGAAAATCTTGAGAACATACAGTTTATATTTAAGAAAATTAATTATGCATAATTAACCTGAAGAACCCCAGAACAATGCAAATAACCTAGCGTCTGGCTCCAGCATTTTGACTGACAAATTGGACAACAGTTAAACTATTACTATTTAAAATGCAGCAGACTTATTTTTGAGCCAATTATGGCTTTTGTAAGGTACATTACATAGTTTTATTCTCAGTGTCTCAAAAGCAGCGTTTTATAAATGTAATCGATTCCTATTTTAGAAAGAAACATCATTATAATGCTTTGATATTTTTTATCTTCAAAGGATTTCAAATAAACTAGACCTGTGAAAATATTGCAACATAAGTTTTACAGACACTAGAGAAAGCCTCTGATTTACCTTATTGATAAAGACCACAACCATTGTCACCTACAGTGCGCTTCACCCTTCCTTAACATCTACAGAAGTGCCAGTTTTTATATCAGGCCTAATGGTGCTCTGCCTGACTAAGGAAAGAAATGTGTTTCACAAAGGATGAAGCCAGCAGGAAACATCTGGTCAGCATCTCTGAAACTATCAAGGGGGTCCTCTGCTCTCTTCTGGGGCACTGCTGAAAGGCTCCTCAGGGAACGAAGTTCCAAAAAGCCAACTGGAGCTTCCCCAAAATTCTGTGGTGAGTGGCACTAGGCTCCATTAGTGCTACACATGCTCTGCATTACACTCCCCAAGCAGCCAGACAGGCTGTGCAAAAGCTGGAATTCAAGCTCTTACAGGGCAGTGAAGTCCTGGCGGCAGCAGAAGGGCTCGGGCACAGGGAGTCATGACGTCTGCTTCAGACACCAAAGGCTGCACTCTTACAGGAGACTGCAGGTTAACTTTCCTAGTATAGTTAGAGGTGCTTTCTTCTCAAAACACCACACCAAGCATCTTGACCTGTGGCTGGGTATCCCGCTGATCTTTCCCGTATTTATCTATCCTGCTGATCATTGCACCTGTTCTTTCATCCTTATCTAAGATAACTTTAGAGATGGGTTGAAGAGTGTCCTCCTGTCCCAATAACCTCTTGTGTGACTGTGAGAAGAAGTCCACTGTCGTCACAATACTCAAAATCTTAATTTCCACACACACTTACTAAGAGGGTTGGGATCCTCATGACCACTTTGAAAGAGAAAGCAACTGCATGTGGTATTTGCAGCCCCTTTTAGCAAAACCATTTTGAGGTAGAAGTGCATCCAATGTCATGGTGAACACCTGGCATAAACTGTTTCTATATTTCTGCTTTTGGAATCAAATCAATTTACTGCATCCCCATGAAGGCAAACAGAATCTCTGGAAAACTTACATAAAGCATGGCCCAAAGCCTAAAAAATTCAGCAACTGACATGAGCAGGTCTGGGAGCCACCACAATGTGAAGCCTGCTAACTGTGCCCTGCAAGCAGCTCTCCAGTTTTTGCGCTCTGACATTGCATCAGAACTGTCACTGGAGAACCTCTCAATGATGGGTAAGTTCCTTTTACCTTTAACACCATCAGGTCATCAAAGCTGCAGTCCACAATGAGGCGAAGTGTGCTAGGAACAACTTCCCTGCGCATGCATTTTCTGTCATTCCCTTCATTACTGGAATCCAATTTTGACTGACGTTCTAGTTTTCTCTTCTGGCGTTTTTCTTTTCGTTTCTGCCTAAATAAACAAACAAATCAATCCTCAAAAAGTGCTGCCAAATGTGCTGAGGTGCATGTTATGCACGCAAATGCAGACTTCTAGGACCAAGGTGGTTGTCCTGTGACTGCAGTAGTTTAAACTTGTTAAATGTTGCCTGCATTTGTATTAGACTGAGACCAGCACGAAACACACCCCCATCTTTGGGAAGTTCTGTATGTACCTACAAAGATGGGCATCTGACACAAATTCAATGAACTCACTACTGGAAGTCTCATGGATTTAAGGAGTCCATGCTCTGAGTCAAGTCTCATACGAGAATTAACAAAAAGATTGAAAAAAATCACAGTATCGGAATCAGAACGTGGAAGGCAATTTACATCCTCTTTCACTGAACAGTTTTTCAAAAAGCTTCTGAAGCAATTGTTCCTTCCCAGTCCCCTGATGGGAGTGGGCAGTTGGGAGATCACATTTCAGAGACAGCAACAGCCGCTGCCTTGGGAAGGAACACCTTGCAGTCAGCAGGACAAGGATAAACCACCATCAGCTCATTTGCAGATAATGAGCATTTCTCATTATAAATAAATTGAGATAAATAAATTCAGATTTCTCTCAACGCAACGGAACAGCAGATCATCATCTTTCAAAACTATTCTAACAGATTGTAAATCAACATAATTTACAGGACTGCATTTCACATGTCAAAAGTATTTGCTTTTGTTTAGTCTTAGTAAGATTCACCAAGTGTGACACCACCTGGGAAAAAGGGTGCAGCCCACGCAGAAGGGAACAAGGCCACAGGTTATCTCTCCCCTCTGACAAATCAAAACCGTGCATGTTTGAATACCTCCTGACATCTCCGAGCTGAGGAACACTTCTAATAGGAAGAGGGGATGCTTACCTTTACAGCCTCTTCAAGTGTAGATGGAGTAGCCTGCGGCTACTGCTTTAAACCTGGTGTGGGAGAAAACTGGTTCAACTGCCTTGATTTGCTAAAGCCATTTACAAGAAAATTCTGATGACACATCATTATTATTATTAGCACTAGATATTACACGTGAACCTAGGAAAGCTATTTTGCAAACCATACCTCCGTAGATCTTTTTGTTCCTCCCACTGTTTCTGCTTCAATAACTTCTTCCTTTGTCTTTTGGACATGGGCTCAGAGCACTCTTCCTTTTCTAAGCCTGCCTCCTGTCTCTCTACCGGACTGTCATTTGACTTCACCTTTCCTTCCACATCAGGAACTTCAGGGAAAAGGGTATTTTCCATTGGCACCTCTGGACTGCCTGTTGGCGTTTCGGATGACATTAGCTTTTGGCCGGGTTTTCTGACTTGTTTCTCAGCATGAGCTAAATATTTCACTAAAAGAAAGCTTTCTGCTCACCAATTCTCTAGGAAACAAAACAATTGTATGAGTGTTATTAACGAGAAGCTCAATTAGAACAAGTATCATTCAACACCTACCGTAAACCTGAAAAAAGAAAAATAATAAATAAGAGGCCTTTTTTGTTTGTTTAAAGCTATGTTAGTTCCTCTGCAAACAGTAACATAGAAAATACTACAGAGATTATGACCTGCATTCAGATAGTCTAAAACTCTGCCTGCCACATCTGCAACTAGTCAATAGTTTCCAAGTAAAAATTTTGTGAAAACACAACTGCATAAAAGTAGGGAATCAAACTGAATTTAATGTAAAATAAAAAAAAAATAGCAATACCAGTACGTGTACACAAACTGTTCTCAAATACACAAACAGAAAAAAATTAAAAAGGTATCTTACGATGTAACTATGGCAGCATCTTAGAGAAATGTAATTTTTAAGGCACTGAAGCCATTCTTTTTGGGGAAAAAAGAAGTGTGAACGTGCTGTACTCCTTCAAAATTAATTTTTATTTCTTTTGAAAACCGAAGACACTGCACAGTGACAGAGGCTTGCCACTGTCACCGGACAAACACAGCAAGGGGACAGACTGTTACTCAGCAAAACATTCTGTGTTCAAACCAATTACAATTACAGCCTCTCCTTCCAATGGCAAGCATTACTTTTCCATCCTAGCAGCTCCCCTGCGCTCGACACCCACATAACTCTCCAAAGGTAACCACTTCGCCGCAGAACGCCGCACCTACATCCGGCAGAAAACAGCAACCCTCCGGCTCTTGCAGGGACAGCAGAGCCAGGAGACACACAAAGCACCAGAGAACCAGCGGCGTTTCCGCTGGCACACTCCGACTTCCCCGTCTGAGGGCGTGCGGACGCCGAGCGCTGCGCGTACACCTGTGTGCGCGTACACAGGCGCACAGACGTACACATATGCACACACGTGTATCTGTATCTAGACCAGTAAGTCCCTCATAGCTGCACAGGGCCGGCCACAGCGCCCGGGAGGGCCGTGCCCCCCCCCACGGGCGGCAGTGAGCCGTACCCGCACCGCGCCGCGCGGGCCCCTCAGGGCCGCCATGTTCCTGCTCCCCCCGCGCTCCCCCGAGGGGCCGCAACGTACCCGCGAGCCGCCCCGCGCACGCCCGGGCGCGGGGAGGGGGCGGAGCCGCAGCCCTCTCACGCGCAGGCGCGTGCGCGCCCGCCACGCCTCCGGGTCCCGGCGGGCGCCGGGCGGCGGTCACGTGAGCGCGGCGGGCGGGGCGCCCCTGGCGGCGGGCGCTGGTGCTGCTGCCGCACGGTCCCGTGGGGGATCCGCGGGGATCCGCGCAGCGAAGAGCAGGAAAACCTCGGTTTTGTCTAATGGTTTGGATGGCCCCGCTGAGTTCACGCAGGGGCCAGCCGAGTATTTTTAACCGGTGGCACTCCTCAGGGCGGATTTCGAGCCCCAGGGGTCCACCCGGCAGTGCCGCGTTCTCCCAGGCCCCTGAAAAAGGGTGCTCGCTTCCGGGCTTCCTGTTTTTAAAGGCTACCGACAGTGAGCTTTTTAAACTCCAGTGTCAATACCCAGCGAAGGGCAGCGTGCTTTCGCTTCCACATAACTCCATGGAAGAATGCTGCCCTATTAGAGGAGTCAGTTCTGGAGACTGGGATTGTGTTCTATGAGAACAATATATTTTGGGCAGCCCAAGTATGTAGATATCTGTTTGCCCCTGGTTAACGAGGCACACAAAGTTAGCAAACACACGAGTGTGCACTACCATAATACCCTTTTCATCTGCATCAATGTTTGTCTCAGGTTTCATTGGTTCCAGATATACACGCTCTTACAGTTTTAGTGCTGGTTTCAGGTTTACTACAGCTGTGTTGAAGTCACAAAATTGTACAGTGTCACTATAGTAAGACACTGACCTTTTAACTGCTGTTGGAATTCAATATTTGCTGTAATACTTGATTTAATTTGTGATTCTTATTCTGTACATGACTTTAAAAATAGCTAGATTTGCATTTGCTGGGGTCTATTTAAAACCTCACTCGTGTTACTATTAATATCTATCTTGACACGCCAGCATCACACAAGTCCAAATGCTCCACTGTCCTTATGGATAATCCTTCATTCTCTTCTGGTCGTTGAAAGGCTGCATATGAGTTACCAATATAAACTCATTTGCTTGCTTGCTTTTTTTAAAAAAAGCTAAAGACATCTGACAAATTCACATAATAAGTGTGCTTTTTCTTAGAATGAGGAAACTGCTTACGCATTTTGTTTTTCTCATACTGCACTTTGCAAAGCGTCAGTACTGCTAATCCAGACCCCAATGTCCTCAGACACTGACACAGGGCAGTGCAATGTTTTCTGAAGTCTGCCAAGTGCCAAGTGGTGACAAAGCCAAATGAAGACCTGAGCAGTTGCAAATATTGAGAAAGAGCTGTCTGTCTGAATTTCATTACTTTGATAGAGCCTTAACATGACTTTTTCAGGATGCTCATCCTAATGGTGAGTCACTGTCCCCCCCAGCAACAGAAAGAACTGAATATCCCAAAGCTTAAAACTGCAGGTCAAGGAGCTGAGAATGGAGAGAAGAAAAAAGATACTCAGGAGGCTCAGGTGTAAACACTGACATTATTCTCTGTGGGCCAGGTCTGACTGCCACACTCCTGAGGAGGGGCTTAGGGTGCAAGTGACAGTCATAACCCACCTTTGGCCAGTGACATGGCTGGGCATCTCCAACCCCACATTATAGCAGAAATGGGGCAGTCTTATTCAGCCAAACACTGGGAGCTGGGGCACACAGGCCCCAGCTGAAGGGTGAAGATGAACTTGGGTACTTTGGTGCACATATCCGAAGGTTTGAGTTGAAAACCAAGATCTTGATGCTGTCGCTTGTGAAGAGAAGACAAACATTTTGTTGGCCTCAGAACTTGGGAGGAAACCTCATTAGTTTTATTAGGTTGTATAAAGATATAGTTTGGACTCTGGAAAATGTGCAGCAAAAGAAACACTTTGACCCCAGCACATATGCCAGCATGGCGTGAAACGTACATTGGGGGCTGATCCTGCAACCTCTGCGTGGTGTGGACTTTGGTGGGCGCAACACTTGTTTCACTGGTGTAATCTCACTTAAAGGAAGTCACTGCTGATTAACTCCAGCCATAACTGAGGCGAGGCTCAGTTAAATGTCTTTTTTTAAGACATTTGAAGAGCATTCCAAGTCTGTGTTGTGGAAATGCATATGGGTGTATAAACATTTATGCGTGTGACAATGTATGTACACTATTTCTCTATATGATGCTTGTATCCTTAGTTCTGTAATTGGCACCACTACAGTGGTGTCCAAAAAGATATGGTGATTTACATCAGCAGGGGATCTGTCTCTGATATTCTAGTGTCTAAGAGAGCCTTTTTTAAAACTTACTTTCGTTCAAGGAAGAAATAAATTTCCTGTGTTCCGAGAGCATAAGAAGAGGACAGTTTCTCTTGTCCAGATTTCAGACCAACATCAACTCCTCCTTTGGAGAAGTGTCAATGTTGCATTTCCAAATCTGGATCCGTACCTTTAGTCTCCCTCTAGCCAGAGTTGGTTTTGCAGCAAGATTGTGTCCTTATTTTTTTCAAGAAAGCACTGAAAGCGTGGCAAGCTCATTGTTTACTAAATGCAGCAAAAGGATTAGCTGAAGTCCTCTGCCTCAGTCCTTTGAATTCAGGAGCGTGTCACAACCTGCGCTGGGGAAGCAGCGTAAATAACCACAAATGGTGAATAAGCAGTAGCAGACCCTAGGGTTTCCTAATCTCCTTCTCATGTGTACACACACACACAAAACACAGGAATATTTCCAGGGGGAACTTCCACAAGGTGCAGAGAGATGAACACGAGGGAGAAGCATTGGCATGGGCCAGTTGTTTCCCACTGCTGGGCAATGATTGACATACATGGTGTTCAACTTCTCTTTTACCATGATCCCTTATTAATACAGAGGATCTGGTGGCAGAAGTGGCCCATTGGGAGCAGCTAAATGCAGCCTGGGGTGGCACTTTTCCATTTGGAATGTTTGTAGATTGAAGTCTTGCTAAAGTAGCCTGTGGAAGTGGAGTGAAAGGGTGTGGTGATGGCTCTATAAGTAGGAGCAGATCCTCCCTTCTCGCAGAGCTGAGGAGGCTTCATATGCTGGGAGAGAGGCGTGCCCCCCTCACAGGATGTGACACCCAGGCTGTGCCAAGAAACATGGGAGTTTGGGCCATGGGACACTTGCCCCAGTGACACCTAAAAGAGATCCTTTAGTGAGCCCCGTGGCCATGGGGCTTAGTGCAAGATGGCATGGGATTTACCCTCAGAGGAAACAGGGAAGCAATGTGGGTTAGTTAGCCAGAGGCATATCAGGGGAGGTGGTGAAGTGAGCATATGAAAAGGGGAAAATAGGGGTGTGAAGCATGGCTTGGTTTGCCCTGCTCTCAGACCCTGCCAAGCGAGTACTCATCACTGAGAAGTGACAAAATGGCTGATTTTATCTCATCTTTCAGTCTCTAATCTCTGCACTGCAATGATGTAAGATGGGGGCTGGGGCTGCTGAAAAAAAGAAAATTTATTTGGTATGGTACGATACAGCAGGTACTGACACCACATCTGAGTCTCTGTAACAATGTACCATCAGTTTTTGGGATGGCACTGATAAATCCCATGTACTTCTGCTTCCAGGAAGACCCTTAAAAAGCATCTGCTTCTGGGGTTGCTCATGGAGTTGATGCAAGTCAGTGGAGACAGTGGTCAGGATCTGTTCCCTGGCAGCAACAGACCCGATTGCCGTTTCGTTCAGGGAGAGGAGTGGTGGCAGAATCTCCTGGTTCTTCCAGGACTGGAGGTGGGCTCCCCTACTCAGAAGTGTGTCTCGGTCGGCTCAGTATTCAAAAATGAAAGCTGAGGTGATCAATAAAATGGGGTAGAAACCGCCAGTTACCTTAGTTCTTAATAATTAACTGGAAGTCCTTTCATGAACTTAGTACCTGAGTGTGGAATTTGGAATCTGACCTTTACTACATCTAGATAAACAGTGTGGCCGAGCTGGTGGCTCTCTCTGCAAGCTCCCCTCCACTCATCAGCTCAGTTCCTGGAGGCTCTCACACTTCATGCTGCAGTCAGGAGCTCGGCAGAGTCCAGCATGATTCTTCTTACTGTGCTATTCCTTTGCATCATTTCCACCTACTCAGCCTCTGTTAAAGGTAGGTCTGTACTGGGCTTGGTTCAGCTTTTGCCTCAGTGAAGGCATAACCAGTGTGTGTATGCAGGTCTGTTTTGCATCAAAAATTATCAACTTTACTCAGCCATCCTTGAGTGATGTGAAATGCATTTAGTAGTTAGGTTTAAGCACTTGTGGCATTCATCTCAGCAGAAGTGATGAAGGAGACAATGTTTTCAGGTGCACGGGGCCAGCAGTGTGAGCCAGGAGACCAGGGATCTTAACCTTGCTTAATCAGGACATGTTGTGGGGGCACCAACTTGAAAGGGACTGTTCACACCCTCAGAAGTTAAACACACAGAGTGCTCTGGTGGCGCAGAGCCAGGAAGTGCTCAGGGCTCTCCTGGTTTCAGCTTCTGGGCAGTTGATTCAGCTACCACTGAAAGTCAGTAACAAGCATCCTGTTAATTTCATGAGAAGCTTGCTCTGTGGTAAGTCTTGAAAATCTGGATGTTTGCAGAGCCCCTGTGAGCAGGGCTTTATTCAAGTGTCCTGTCAAAGTCAAGGGTATGGAATCTTAGAGACTGCTCGCTTCAGCAATGCCAGGCAAGGAAAGGTGTCTATAGTAGTGATTCTTCATGTACAACCTCACATTAAATTTAGAGGAACAGCAACCTTAAAACATGAGCTTAGTTTTTAGGTTTTAGATGTCCTCATCCTGATGAGGAGCAGGGGGGACATCCTGGGTTAAGCTGTTAAAAAGGCTGTAGAGGTGCTCTCAGTGGTGCCACCTCCTGCTCC